CTCATGTGTCTTCTTTAATGAAATGTCTGTTCAATCTTTTGCCCATTTTTAAATTGGGTTGTCTGTCTTTTTATTAGGGACTTTTTAGTATTCATTACATATCTTGGATATAATCAGAAATAATATTTGCAAATATTCCAAGTTTGTGGTTTGACTTTTAGTTTTTTTTGTTTTGTTTTGTTTTGTTTTAATACATTTCAGGGATTGAACTCAGGGGCACTCGACCACTGAGCCACATCCCCAGCCTCATTTGTATTTTATTTAGAGACTGGGTCTCACTGAGTTGCTTAGTGGCTTGCTAATTTGCTAAGGATGGCTTTGAACTTGTGATCCTCCTGCCTCAGACTCCCAAGCTGCTGGGAGGATGCATCACTGTGCTTGGCTGACTTTTAGTTGTCTTAATGATGTCTTTTGAAGTGCAGTTTTTAATTTGGGTGAAGTTCAAATTATCAATTTTTTTTCTTTTGTGACTTTGATGTTTTTAAATATATATATTTTAATTGTAGTTGGACACAATATCTTTAATTAATTTATTTATTTTTATATGGTGCTGAGGATTGAACCCAGGGCCTTGCCCGTGCTAGGCGAGCACTCTATCACTGAGCTACAACCCCAGCCCCTTGACATTATTTTTAAGAACTCTTAATGTTAAGTCACAAGGGTTTTTGTTTGAACTAAAAGTGCTATAGTTTTCAGCTCTTAGAGTTCAGTCAGTGATCTGTTTGATTAGTTTTGGTGTATGGTGTGCAGTCAGAGTCTAACTTCATCTTTTAGGTTTTTTTTTTTTTTTTAGTTGTCGATGGACACAATATCTTTATTTTTTTTTATGTGGCGATGAGGTTTGAACCCACTGCCTCATGCATGCTAGGCAAGCGCTCAACCAACTGAGATACAATCCCAGCCCCTAACTTCATCTTTATGGTTATAGACATCCAATTTTTCCAGCATTGTTCATTGAAAACATCGTTTATCCATTGAGTTATAATGACACCTTTGTTGAAAATCAACTGACAATTGATTAAACCTGAGTTATTTTGATATTTACTGAGGTTGATATTTACTTTTTTAAGAGTAGGAAGTTGAGAGGATATGTGTGTATAAATGCATAGTAGGGATACTCATTTTAACCCAAATGAGTTAAAAAAAAATTATGTCCATATAAAAATCTGTATGCAAACATTTATGGCATGCAGACAAAATATAACTGACAAAATTTGGAAGCAACCAAGATGTCCTTCAGTAGGGGAATAAATAAATAATAGTTACTTTTGTTTTGTACCTGGGGTTGAACCCAGGAACACTTTACCCCTGAGCCACATCACCAGCCCTTTTTTAAAACTTTTTTTGAGTCAGGGCYACACTAAATTGCTGAGGCTGACTTTGAACTTTTATCCTCCCATGTCAGCCTCCCAAGCTGCTGGGATTACAGGCATGTGTCACCGCCCAGCAATAGTAGTAGTTTTTTTTTAAAAAAAGAAAGATTGTGATCATTTGTTTAATTTGAGAAACAAAAACACTTAGGATATATTTCCTATCATTTTAGTTATCAAAAATAACTAGGGGAGTTATTCTTATATGGCAACCTTTATTTAGATTTTTTTGAGGTTTGTAAGACCAAAAATAACAATGAACAACTTTATCATAAATATTCTTGATGTAAACACTGAATTAAGAATGGCTTAGCTGCTGGGTATGGTAATTAATTACTGCCTGTAATCCCAGTGGCTTAGGAGGCTGAGGTAGGAGAATCAAAAGTTCAAAGCCAGCCTCAGCAAAAGCAAAGCCCTAAGTAACTCAGTGAGACCYTGTCTCTAAATAAAATACAAAATGAGGCTAGGATATGGTTGAGTGCCCCTGAGTTCAATACCGGTACCATAGAAACACACACCCCAAAACATAAAACGTAAAGAAAGAATGACTCAGCTGAGCACAGTGTGCACATCTGTAATCCCAGCAACTTTGAAGGTTGAGTTAGGAGGATCCTAAGTTAGAAGACAGCCTGGGCAAATTAGCAAGATCCTGTCTCAAAATAATAAAAAGGGCTAGGAATGTAGTTCAGTAGCASTGACAGAGCATCCCTGGATTCAATCTCTGTTACTGTCAAAAAATAAAAAATGACTCMGTCTAATTTTAATAACTCACCTTTTTATTATTTTTATGGTACTTTGGTTAAAACCAAGGACACTCTATTACTAGGTGTATCTCCAGCCTTTTCATCTTATATTTTGAGACAGGGTCTTAACCAAGTTGCTGAGGTTGGCCTTATACTTGAGGTCCTCTTGCCTCAACCTCTGGAGTAACTGGAATTATAGTCTTTTGTCACCCTTCCTAGCTGAGTCGCCAGTTCTGAGTCACTGTTCTCAATTTTCTTGAAGCTTAAGTTCATTAGTTTATAATTTATTAGTTTGTAATTGATTAGCATTAATCTGATAAACTTAGGCTTTATTTATTAACAGATAGAAGATGTAAACCAAAAATTCAACAATCTGACCAAACTCGAGGAGTCTGGATGGCAAAACAATAACAATACAAATAAAAAAGTCTTTAGGGTAAGTTTGTGGGGTTTATATTTCATATTTCTAATATTTCTTCCACTTGATTTTTGTTTTTAAGTTTTAGAAACATTTAACTTCAGTTTTCCCATTTTATAAAGTTTCATGTGTTACTTACAAAGTCCTGATTGTTTTTAAGTAAAGAACAAGGAAATGATCACAAAATTTAAAGTGTTTATTTCTGGAGAGAAGAAAGTAAGAGCTATGATTGAATGGAGGCACCCAGATGGTTTGAAGTTAGCAGATAGGGGGTACATGACTGTTGGTTTTATTCTTTAAACTGTACTGATGTATTTGGTTGTAATGATATTATTAATAATTGATTGACATAATGTTTTGTATGGGCCAAATATTATTCCGAGTATTTTATATAACTTACATAATCCTTAYAGTAATCTGGTGGGCTGGGTTCTATTGGCCCCATTTTATGATTAAGGAATCTGAAGCCCCCCAAAATTAAATCATTTGCTCAAAGTGGAGCTGGGTTTTAGACCAGACTTTTTCATTCCAGAATCCATGTATTTAACCAGTTGACTCTGTTCCCTTGTTGGTTTGTATGCTTTTTTGTATAGTAGATTTTAGAATGGAAGCATTTTTTAAAAGAAAAGAGGAACAGTGGCTCTTTAGAACTTATGTCTTATTCCCTTTACCATTACCTGGTGAAATTTATACCATTTTTATCTATCTCTAGTCATTTTTTTAAAATATATCATTTTAATGTTTACCTTCTCCAAGGGATACCAGTAGCATTACTGTGATAGTATTAAGGTGTTTGATTTTTTTTTTAAGTTGTAGATGGACACGATACCTTTTATTTATTTATTTATTTAAAATTTTTTTGTAGTTGTAAACTAACAGAATACCTTTATTTGTTTGTTTTTATGTGATACTGAGGACTGAACTCAGTGCCTCACAAGTGCTAAGCAAACGCTGTACCACTGAGCTACATCCCCACCCCACGTTTTCTTTTTATTCACATTAGTACGTTTTAAGATACAAGGAACATCCCAGTTTTTAGTGTAGGTTAAATATTCCTTATCAAAAGTGCTTGAGGGCCTGGAGATGTGGCTCAACGGTAACGTGCTCGCCTGGCATGCGCGGGGTGCTGGGTTCGATCCTCAGCACCACATAAAAATAAAGATGTTGTGTCCACCGAAAACTGAAAAATAAATACTAAAACAATTCCCTCTCTCCCTCCCTCCCTCCCCCCCCCCTCTTAAAAAAAAGTGCTTGGGAACAGAGATATTTCAGGTTTTGGGATATTTGCACATATATAAAGAGATATTTTGGTGGAGGGACCTAAGGTTAAACAAGAAACTATCTATGTTTCATATAAAGCTTATTTTATATATATATATATATATAACCTGAAGGTAATTTTATCCTGGCAGGAGTCAAGCACAAAGATCAGGTGGTAATCTCTAGTTGTTTTTAATAGAGTGATATTTTGAGCTCAGTGGTTTTGATTCAGGTAGACACTTGTCAAGTTGAGTATTACTAGTTTAAAACCATGCCAGATTGTCTAGTATTTTTTTTATGTTTTGTTATACAAATTAAGACTGTTCTGAATCCTATCTTTGAAGTTTAAGGTGATTAAGCATTAAAAGAATCTTTATTATAAAATTATTTTACTAATAAAGCCTCATGACAAGAAAGACCCTGAGGGCAGCAACTAAGTGATTCAATCAATTTCAAGTTTTCTAAATAGTGAAGGATATTACTTATTAAAGCTACTGGGGTGGGGGGTATTTCTTATTTAGTCCTAGAAATATTAATATCAATGATAATGGCTATATCATATCAGAGTCTTGTAATTCTACTTGTTATCACCAGATGTCTCTCTCCTTCTACTTTATTTCATAGGATACAGTTTATTTTTCTTTTTTTAAGGCCTTTTTACTACCACCACACCCACACTGTTGGCAAGTGAACCCAGGGGATTCATGTGCTATGCAAGAGCTCTACCATGAGAACTACCCCTAGTTCTTACAAGTTAATGTTCAGATTATGATACTGCTTCCTTCTGTCTCTTGTTCATCATCCTTTTATTCCATCAGTTAACCTGTTTTCCTCTTTTCTTCAGCTTTTTGAAGTGTCTGTCTTAACTTTGTTTACATTAAAACAAATAAACCAATTTGTAGTGTTCACCTTTCCCTCTGATTATTTGTACTTGCCCCTCTGTTCCCAATCTTTTCCTTCCAAATCATAGACAAACTTCCTGAAAAGGTCGTAGATATCTTAAGTGATTTGGCTCCCATTTCTCTCTGCAATTCGGTTTTACTTCTCCCTGTCCCTCAAGAGCAGTTATCAAGGTTATTAATCAACTCATTATTGAAGTTATTAGATACTTAATTCATAAAGTCTAACTCTTCCTTAGTTTTAAATATGTTCTACTCTCTTTTTCTTAAAATTATATTCTGATTTTCCTCCTACCTCTCTGCCCAATCTTTAGTCATGTTTGCAAGTTTGCTTTTCCATTATCTCTTAAATGTTTTTATATTCAGAGTTTCTACCTCAACTTTCTTCTTGCCTTTCACATTCTTCCTGTATGATTTTTTTCTCCCAGTGCTGGGAATTGAAMCCTGGGCTTCATGTATACCATGCAAATCCTCTACCACTAAACTACATCCTGGCCCTTCCTGTACAATCTTAAACTGCTGTTCAGTGATTCCTAAGTCTGTATTTCAAACCAACTCTAATTCTACATATTATGACTCATTAGACCTTAAAAATCAGTATATCCCACATACAGTATATATCACACATTCCCTGTGACCATCCTGTCAGGTTTGTAAGAAATTTGAGTATTTCCTGTGATCCTTTCCTTTTTTTCATTTTACTATCTCCATCCAACCACATCCAGTAGATAAGCAAGTCATCTTATTTCTGCCTCTTAAGTATCTCTTGAATCCAATCACTTTTTTCCACATCCTTTTCCTTAGTCTGATTACTATCATATTTCCCCAATGTCATTGCAGTAGTCTCCTTCCCAGTTTCATTCTCCTGGCAGTAACCACAGCGGTCTTCCTAAAACACAAAATTTTATACTGTTAACCTGTTGCTTAAAAACCACTCCTTTTATTCCTCTGTCATGTGTAGATGTACCCTCAAAATGATTATAAGAGATTTTATAATCCCACTGTTGCTTATATCCTGCCATCTTATCTTTGTTTTCTTTCCCTTCTGGCTTTGCAAACATGCTATTCATCTAGCCTTTCTTCACCCCATCTTTTACCTGGCTAATTGATTTCAGCTTAGGTGCTACATTCTTGTAAGCTTTTCTTGACCTCTGAAGATTGGTTTAAGTGTCATTCTCATAATCTACTATAGCTGTTTGAGTTTACCTCTAACATGATACTTATCCTTCTATTTTACCAAGCTGTAAACTTCTTTAGGGCAAAAACTTAAAAWCTTTGTCTTTTACCTTTTTTCCCCTCCTCTACTTTTTTGCAGTACTAAGGATTGAACCCAGGGGCATTCTACTACTGAGTTATATTTCCAGTCCTTTTTTTTTTTTTTTTAAGTTAGTTAATAATGCTGGGGATTGAACCTAGGACGTGTGTATGAGAGGTAAGCACTCTACCAACTGAGCTATAGCCCCAGCCCTATTTTGTTTTATTTTGAGATAGGGTCTCACTAAGTTGTCAAAGCTCTCCTTGAACTTGTGTTCCTCCTGCCCTCTTGGCCTTCTGAGTAGCTGGGATTTCAGCCTTGTGCCACCAGCCTGGATATCCCCTACCATTCTGCCTCCAGAATTCTTAGCACATACTAGGAACTTGATTAGTATGTGGTGAATGTGTGATATATTTAATGTACACTTTTTTTAAATTAGACTTTTTTTAAGTGACAAAATTCTTTTTTTAATAGTAACAGCTTTAACATTGTTTCTTTTTGCAGAAAAAAATTGTCTCAAGCATGGCAAGTAAACCAAAACAGGATGATGATGGAAGGATTGCAGCTAGAAATCGCCTAGCTGCCATAAAAAATGCAATGAGAGCAAAAATTAAACAGAAAGAACACTCAGAGGCAACCTCCCCTGTAATATCAAAAGAAGTTGACAAAATAGTATTTGATGCTGGGTTTTTCAGAATTGAGAGTCCCGTGAAATCATTCTCAGGTTAGTTTTGTTTTGTTTTTGCTGAGACTTAAGAGAAATATTTGAGGCAAATTTATATAAAACACAAAAAAGTTTTTGATATGAAGAGTTGTAAACACTATGACTTCTCAAACAGAATAGACTATGTGCTAATTCACACATGCATGCAAATTTTATTTTGATGAGTATGACCAGATTGGTTTAAGGGGGGTTTACTTTATAAGATTGAGTTTATATTTTGTAAGTGATTTCACAGCTATTGTTACCATATAACCCCATAATCTAGAAGCTTAGGTCACAAGATCCTAAGAGGTAAGGATAATGATGGAATAAAGAGAAGTTGTTTTCTTCAAGCAAGAAGTTGGATTAGAATTAAGATGAAAAGGTGAGAATGGTGGTGCATGCCTGTAATCCCAGCAGCTTAGGAGGCTGAGGCAGGAGGATCATCAGCAATTTAACGAGGCCCTAAGTAACTCAGTGAGACCCTGTCTTTAAATAAAATACAAAAAAGGGCTGGGGTTGTGGCTCAGTGATTATGCACCCCTGAATTCACTCTCTAGAACCCCTCCCCCCCAAAAAAAGATGAAAAGTAGTTTGGACATTAAACCCTTACACTTCTATTGTGTTTTAAAACAAAGCTTATGAAAGGTGGAATTGGTATTTTCACTTGAGTTAAAACTCAAATATTTTGACAGATAGTAAAAGTACTAATTTCCCAATTTTAAAGGATTCTAGTGAGGTTTAAGGGTGTAGCTCAGTGGTAGACCTCTGCCTATCATGCAAGAGAACCTGAGTTCAATCCCTAGCACTTCAAAAACAAAATAAGTAAAATATTCTAGTATAACCATTATTTAATACTTTAGGAAACTAATTTTCTAACTTTTTGAATAATTGTTATTTCACAGATCATTTTTATTAAACATGTATCTCAATTAAAATTATTTATAAGCCACATATGTCCACTAAGAAGTCTGTGTTCACTAATTTTCTAAAAGTAACCCTAAGCTTCTAATACTTGCTATCTGATACTTTCATTAAGATGTAAATGTATCACCTTGTTGTAACACATTATCCCCCTACATCACCCTTTTGAGTTGCTGGGATTATAATGCCTGTAATCCTAGCAACTCAAAAGGGTGATGTAGGGGGATAATGTGTTCAAGGCCAGCCTCAGCATCTTAAAAAATAAAGAGGGGTGGGGATATAGCTCAGTGGTTGAGGCTCCTGGCTTCAGTCCCCAGTACTGTTATTTAAAAGAGGTATAAATATATCACCTCAAGTATGTTACAACCTTCTTGTTGGTTTTGATATCATAGCTGGAGTGGCTTTGATTTGTTTTCTCCCTTTAAGCAGCTTAGCTCTCCATATGATGAGAGTCTCCCACCACTACTAATAGCGTGGCCCCATACTTTTTAAGGATCCTAGTGGTTTCTGCAGCTAGGAACTCATCCCTCTCTGTTCTTTCAGGTACACAACTATACTCAACTCTATCCTTATGAATAGGGAAGGTTTGTGAGAAAAACTGATCTTTTATTTTTTTTTTTTTAATTTTTTTTATTGGTTGTTCAAAACATTACAAGGCTCTTGACATATCATGTTTCATACATTAGATTCAAGTTGGTTATGAACTCCCATTTTTACCCCAAATACAGATTGCAGAATCACATCTGTTACAAGTCCACATTTTTACATAATGCCCTATTAGTAACTGTTGTATTCTGCTACCTTTCCTATCCCCTACTATCCCCCCTCCCCTCCCCTCCCATCTTCTCTCTCTACCCCATCTACTGTATTTCATTTCTCTCTTTGTTTATTTTCCCGCTTATGTGTAATTTTGTATAACAATGAGGGTCTCCCTCCATTACCATGCAATTTCCCTTTTCTTTCCCTTTCCCTCCCACCTAGTGTATCTGTTTAATGTTGATCTTTTCTTCCTGCTCTTCCTCCCTGCTCTGTTCTTAGTAGTTCTCATTATATCAAAGAAGACATTTGGTATTTGTTTTTTAGGGATTGGCTAGCTTCACTAAGCATAATCTGCTCTAGTGCCATCCATTTCCCTGCAAATTCCATGATTTTGTCATTTTTAAGTGCTGCGTAATATTCCATGGTGTATAAATGCCACATTTTTTTTATCCATTCATCTATTGAAGGGCATCTGGGTTGGTTCCACAGTCTAGCAATTGTGAATTGTGCTGCTATGAACATCGATGTGACAGTATCCCTGTAGTAGGCTCTTTTAAGGTCTTCAGGGAATAGTCCGAGAAGGGCAATAGCTGGGTCAAATGGTGGTTCCATTCCCAGCTTTCCCAGGAATCTCCATACTGCTTTCCAAATTGGCYGCACCAGTTTGCAGTCCCACCAGCAATGTACAAGAGTACCCTTTTCCCCACATCCTCGCCAGCACTTAAAATTGAAGTATAATGCTTAGTTTCTATGAGGCTTATTAGAAAACAGTAGTCCTTGAAGAGGCCCCTTTCATCCCATTTGCCAGTCCCTAAAGGCCATCACTTCAATTCTTATGGTAGTCTTTTTTTTTTTTTTAAGATATTGATGAACCTTTATTTAATTAATTAATTTATTTATATGTGGTGCTGAGAATTGAACCCAGTGCCTTGTACATGCTAGGCAAGCACTCCACCATGGAGTTACAACCCCAGCCTCTTACTGTAGTCTTTTGGTATTATTTAACACTATGTTTCTAAACAAGGTTTGATTGTTTTTCAGAAACATATAATTTTCTTCTGGTAAACTTTCTTTCCTRTACTTCCTCAACTTTTCTCAACATGATTTCCTCAACTTTCCTGCTGGCTATAATGTTTTTAATTTCAAGGAGCTCATTCTCATTCCCCAATTATTATCTGCACGTGTTTCATGAGAACACTATGGATATTAATAACACTTTTATGTTTTTTCCCCTAATTTAGTCAGTATTTGTTTCAAGATACTTTCATGTGTTTTTCTCAGAAGTCTAATCCTTTACTACTTGGTTATGGTTAAGAATGGGTAGTAAGTAACTGGCTGGAATCTGTGTACAAGGGTTATGCCTTCACTGTGGGGGCAGGTAGCTGGGCCATTGTCCTGGGAACCTATACTTTGCTGCATTTAAATCTTTTCTCATAGGCTACTTAGATTCCCCATAGAAGATTTTTCTCATCTGCTTCTGGATGCTATAATTTTGGCTGCCATCCGTTCAGGAACCATGTAGAGGGGAAAATTTTCAACAGATTATTTGTAAATAATCATTTATTGTCCTTATTTTCAATATAGTGACCCATCTCACTATATTGAAAATAGATGATACTGATCAATATAGTGATACTGTATCTAGTATCCCCCTAAGCCAGAGACCTTCTGTTTCAGATATTTCAGGACCCCTCTAGTTTGTGTGGGGGGAAGGGATTATTGGCTCTACTTTGCAGAATGATCAAAGAAATATAAGCTCTAATAATTCTTTAAACTAACTTTAAGCTCCTCTTCTGTTTTTAGCTCCATTTTTATCTTCACTTTCAGAAATACTTTAGACCATTGATTCTTTTGAAGTGTTCTATGGTAGAAATTGAGTGAACTCTTCTTTCCTGATTGGTGGCTTAGTATTCATTTGCTGGGTTCTAAGCAATATCCCACTTGGCCATAATACATAACAGCTTCCAAATTATTTTTGTTATTGTTCTTTTATTTCCTTTGTCCTTGTAGACTTCTGCCTTTTAAGATTACTTCTGTTAATGTTATAGTAGTGAAATGTTAAATGGAAGCATAATCTAATTTGAGGGTTTAGCACTGTCTTTAATAGAAAATTCCAAGCATTGACTTTAACAAATATTATTTGACAGAAAAAAGTAGGATTTGCATTGTCTTATGGGTTTTAAAGAAAAGTGAATGAAAGAAATTTTTGATTTTGAGGTAATTTCACTCGTCTTCTAGTACTTTCCTCTGAACATCTTTCTCAAAGACATGGAACACCTAAGTCCATCAGCAAAGCCATACCTGAGGGCAAAGCCGGCAAGGACCTTCCARGAAAGATGATATCACTGGAGAATCCTCATCCTCAGAACACCAAAAGTGAATGTGTTGATAAGAAAATTTTGTTTTCAAATATTTCTGAAAGCAGGTATTTCTTTAACGTGTTATTAAGAATTTAACAAATGCTAATCATATTATATCATTTCAGATTATTAAACTAGTAAAATATGCCTGGAATATATTGTTAATTAGATTTCACAATGATCTATAACACAGGCAAGTCATGCTTTCTATGAATGAGGGGATTGAGATATTTAAGATTTCAGATTGGAGCTGGGCATGGTAGTACATGTCTGTAATTCCAGATACTCAGGAGACTGAAGAGGGAAGGATCACATAGTGAGATCCTTTCTGAAATAATAATTGAATGACTGGGAATGTGGCTCAGTGGTTAAGCACTCCTGGGTTTAATCCCCAGTACTAAATAAAATAACAATTTATCATCATTCTTCCCTTTCCTGTCCCCCAACTAAATTGCAAAGGCTGGYCTTGAAATTTTGATCCTCCTGCCTCAGCCTCCCTAGTTGCTGGGATTAAGGGTGTGTACCACCACACCCAGTCCAATTTATTATTGTTTCTTAAAAGCCAATAAGTTCCCATAGTATGTACTGTAGATTTTTGTCTTATACTGGGAAGATCAATAATTGCATTTGAGTTATATTACAAATGTTTTTTTAAAAAATGTTTGATTGCTGGGCTGGGGTTATGGCTCAGTGGTGCAGTGCTTTCCTAGCATGTGTGAGGCACTGGGTTTGATTCTCAGCACCACATATAAATAAATAAAATAAAGGTCCAACAACAACTAAAATATGTGTGTGTGTGTGTGTGTGTGTGTGTGTGTGTGTATGTTTGATTGCCAAAAATAGTTCATCAAGAGCATCTTAGTAATAAACAACTTTGTACAGTAAAGACAAAATGAAGTTAAAAAGTAGAAAAAGAGAATGAATTTAAAAAACTTCAAAAACATTGAGACACATATTTCTAATAAAATACAATGTAAGATTTTAGATTGTATTGTAACTAGAAAAGGTGAATTAAAAAAAACTTCAAAGACATTGAGATACATATTTCTAATAAATTACAATGTAAGATTTTAGATTGTATTGTATTATAACTAATAAGCCAATGTAGCCAACTCTAACTACACAATAATTGGATTGTTCAACTTACAGAAGTCAATTTCATCTTGACCTGTCCCTGGTGTATGGCTCTAGAATTGGCTAAGAAAGTCTTGACAGTGCAGCTACATTAACCTGGCTGACCAGACTGATGACCAGCTCAGGAGTTTCTGAGGAAAAATACCTTGTTTGTAAGGCCATGCTTTAGTCACTATAGTCCATTATATCTCTGTCAGGCTGGATCTTGGACCAGGCGCTATCTTTGACCACTTTCCTAAACTAACTCTCTCCATAAAGGATAGATTTAAAAGGCAAGTCAAAAGAACAATATGCTTAATTAGTGGAGTATAATGCAATTTTTCTTTTTTTCTTTTCTTTTTTAGGAATAGCATAGTAGAAGATGTTCAGTGTCCTGGAGTACAAGGCTTAATTGAAATAAATCATGTAAGTCCTATTGTAGTAGATAGTCCAGTATATCATCTATTTATATCATTCTGTGTAGCAATTCTGTAAGCAACACCTAGATTTCCCATTAGAAATTATATTAGTCCTACAGAATGATAATTCTTATTTCAGTGACCTTTGGCTTATTTGAAAACCTGGAGCTTTTTGTATTTTTCATCTCATATCAGGATGAATATGGAACTAACAAAAAGGAAGAAATTTCAGATATTGAGGAAAGAATGGAACTAAATTCTTCAGTTACTTCACAAGATGTTTTGATGACTAGCCCTGAAAAAAATATACCATCACAAAATAACATCTCACAAGAAGTTAATCCTTCTCAATTGGGTAAGATTGTCTAAAATACAAAGAGGCTTTGTTGAAAAATGAATTTGGATTAAGGTATAGATTATAAAAAATCTGAGTACCATTTTCTAAAGATAAAGGTTGAGAAATTGAACTTTCACAATAAATATCTGAAATAATTTATGAGGTGGGCATAGTGGTACACATCTGTAATCCCAGTAATTCAGGAGGATGAGGTAGGAGGATCTCAAGTTCGTGGTCAGCCCTGTCAACTTAGTGAGATGCTGTCTCAAAATGAAAAGTGACTGGGGTGGGGCTGGGGTTGTGGCTCAGAGCAAGATCACTTGCCTAGCATTCATGAGGCCCTGGATTTGATCCTCAGCACCACATAAAAATAAAATAAAGGTATTATGTCCACCTATAACTGAAAAAAAAAAWTTGTTTTAAAAAAGGGAGGAGGGCTAGGGATGTAACTCAATGGAAAAGCACCCCTGGGTTCAATCCCTAGTATCCCCCCACCACAAAAACAAACAAACAACAACAACAACAAAAAACACTGGTTTATGTTATTGTATTCTACTCTTAACCCCAAACCTTGAGAGAGACCTAAAATAAAAAAAAGTATACTAATCCACATTGGAGAGAGGAACATTTTACATAATACCTACTTTGGAATCCTTCATTTAACAGCATTTTCTGAAGTCTCAGAAAAATTCCAAGTTTCTTAGTTTTTATCTTTAATACATATCTCCAAACCTGTCTTCAAAATATCCTCTATTTTTTCCTCCCTAATGCCTACCTTTTTTTTGTTTGTTTGTTTTGTACTAGAGATTGAACTGAGGGGCACTTAATTACTGAGTCACACCCTCATATACTTTTTAACATTTTATTTAGAGAAAGGGTCTTGCTGATTTGTTTTGGGACTCACTAATTTGCTGAGGCTAGCTTTAAACTTGCAATTCTAGTGCCTCAGCCTCCCAAGCCACTGGGATTAGAGGAGTGTGCCACTGTGCTCAGCTTATACCTACTTTTGTTGTGATTGCTCTACAAGAGAAAAAGGGTCTTATGCTTTTGTTACATTATAATGTGTGCCAGTTTCATCAGTTATTTTCATCTGCTACTATGGTTGTGGTCTAGCTGGGACCTAAGATAAAATAAAATGGTTTAGGGCTRGGGATGTGGCTCAAGCGGTAGCGCACTCGCCTGGCATGCGTGCGGCCCGGGTTCGATCCTCAGCACCACATACAAAAACAAAGATGTTGTGTCCGACAAAGACTAAAAAATAAATATTAAAATACTCTTTCCTCCCTCCCTCCCCCCCCCCCCCCCCCCCTCCCTCTCTCTCTCTCTCTCTCTCTCTCTCTCTCTCTCTCTCTCTCTCTTTAAAAAAAAATAAATAAAATGGTTTAACTATGTCCAGGTATTTAATGTTCTCTACCTGATCTTTGTCAGCATCTTTTAGGTATCCTTAATATTATAAGCATGAGACTGATCAAAGAAGACACTTTTTATGCTGAAATTAAGGATAAGAATATTACTAAGAAATTACTTTAAAAATATAGCATAAAATGATCTATGTTTTTGTCTTAGCATGTGATATACAGACCTTTTCATAGCTTTCAAGTTATTACCCATTTCTAACATCCTTGACTGCAAAAATATTCTTTAAAGTTAAAAATTATTTTTTCTTGTTTCTCAGTACTACTTGATAATAAAAGTGTCTCTACTGAATGCCACCTTCTTGATTCGGTAAGTTCTCGAACTTAATTTGACAATTCCTTCTATTCTAGATTTGTTTTATAAAATGAGTATTTTCAATTTGTGTTCAAGGCTTAAAATTTGTCTTACTGTTTTTGCTTACTCTGAAATCCATTCATTATTCATTTTCTAAAAATGGAGAAAAAATGTTCTATGTTTATGTACTCTAAAATATAGTATGTTTTAGTATTTAAAGCCTGAGCATTTATTTTCCTTTATGATTTATATATCAAATTTGATATGAAAAAATTAGTTGAATACTTGAATGTCTAATAGTGGCTTGGATTATGCTAGGTATTTCTAAATCATGCAAAGAAAATACAAGGTTAACTTCTGCTTATCCAAAACACACAGTGTGGGCAGGGGTATTATCCTGTCTTCAAACATCCTTGGTTATTTGCATCCAATTCTTTTAGATAACTATGTTTATGTCCTTGGTCTTAAAATATGAGAAGTTCATTAAATTGAGTGCCTCCTTTGTGGTCAGATTTGGGCTGCCTTGTATCTCAGGAGAAGTTGAGTCAGAAGTTGAGCCACAGCATATACTTGTAATCCTAGCAATTTAGGAAACTGAGGCAGGAGGATTGCAAGTTCTAAGTCAGTCTCAGTAACTGGTGAGGCCTTGTCTCAAATTAAAACATAAAAAGGGCTAGGGATATGGCTCGGTTGTTAAGCATCCCTGAGTTCAATACCTGGTACCAAGAAAAAGGATTTTCTTCTTGGTCTTTGCTTTCCTTAATCACAAACTGAAACCTAGAGGATCGGGGACTTCAGCATAAGCCAGTTTATATAAACCTGATTTAATCCTGTTTCCATATCTGAACTCTGGATTGTTGTTTCTGATAATATATAAGTAAGTCTAGGAGTTAATAAGTCAAAATATTCAATTTTTTATATTAATATGAATAAAGGTACCTAATGATAAATTGATAAATCTTTGTTTTCCTGTGATTTGTTTTCTCATTTCATAAATGTTAGATATTTAAGTCCACCTGTCTAGTTAGGCCCAAATTATTGCTTGCCCAGTAGTACTATTTAAAACCGAAGTAGAGTTTGAAGGGAAGGAATAAAGGATCCCAGCAGGATCACACTCTAGTAAAGGGCTTATTAAATATTGTTATATGGTTTAGAATTTGTGGAATCTGCATGAGTGGCCTAAGATATGGTCATAATTTTATTCATCTTGTGTATACTGCCCAAGTTATGTATATATGTATATATATAATTTTATATATGTATATAAACATTTTTATATATATCTATATGTAGATATATGTGTATGTGTGTATAACTTTAGGAACAAATTCCCAGTTTTGTTTCAATTAAAAAATTGTTTGAAGTTAAGTTTACTAGAAAGTAGCAAAGTCATGTTACTAGTAATGTAGTATTATTGCACAGGGAAATGTATTTGTTATTAATTGATCTATTAACTAGCCATCTTGAAGATTTACTTGGTAAAACTTTTTTTTCAATATGAAATTTTTCATTTTTTTAATAATATATTTTTTTAGTTGTTGATGGTCGTTTATTTTTATTTATTTATCTTTTTAGTTGTAGATGGACATAATAGCTTTATTTTTATTTTTATGTGGTGCTGAGGATCGAACCCAGTACTTCACAAATGCTGGGCAAGCCCTCTACCACTGAGGCATAACCCCAGCCCTGAACCTTTATTTCATTCATTTATTTATATGCAGTGCTGAAAATCGAGCCCAGTGCTTCATACATTGAGGCGAGTACTCTACCACTAAGCCACAATCCCAGTCCTTGCTAACTCTTGATGGTTACTTTAGTGATTTCTCTAAATTTGTTCTCTAGCCAGGCCTAAACTTCAGTAATCAGGTGGAGAGGCGACATCAAGAACGTGCCAGACACATCTCCTTTGGTGGTAATCTCATTGCCTTTTCACCTCTAAGGCCCCTCAGTGGAGAAAAACCAGAAGAATTTTGAATTTAAAAATAAATCCAAGGCTGTGAAATATTTGTAGACAATTAGAAGTTTGATGAAGATGTATTTGTGTTCACTTCTATTCAATCCATTTATATATTGTCATATAATGTTTTAGTATGTGTTAATCTAAGTGTATTTTAGATATACTATTTCTCAGGGGAAGTGGGAATATTTTGTATATTAACCACATAGAATAAAAGGTATGTTTCACCTTGTGTCTTTTGTCTAAAATGTGTAGGTTTAAAGCTAATTATACTTACTTAGAGCTTATAAAATTTTAGTTTAGTTAAAATATTAAATTGTAACCAACATATCCTTTTATACTTTCTTCTTAATTTGAACTCTTAAATTTGTTGATGTTAAATAGCTTGGAGCATTACATTTTCCAGTGTATACTGAGTTTCTGTAGATGAACTTTCTGGATTCTGAAGTGAGCTTACATGCTACAGTTTCAAATGGTTAAATTATTAGAGATGCCCATTAAATCCTTGCTTTTTTTCTTTTCACTTTCTGCTTGATGAGACAACAGCCATTGCCTTTTTCTCTTGAAGAGAGATTCATATTAATCACAAAATGTGTTTGAAGTATATTCTCTTTTATACACTCTCTTTAACTATAGGATTGTAAAATGCATAGCTACAGAATAGCAGAGCACCAAAAAGACTCAGTAGCTGCAGCTAGTCACCAGGTCTGTTATTTATGTGTGAAAATGAGTTGAGGATTGGAGGCATTTACCAAATAGGAATTTTATGCCTAACGTTTTAAGATTAGGGGTTTTCAAATGAGAAAAGGAAACATGCTTTCTTTCCCCTACCCCGTGACCCCCAGCACTGGCGATTAAGCCCAGAGGCATGCTACCACTGAGATTATCCTCAGCCTGTTTTGAGTCAGGGTCTCACTAAATTGCTGAGGCATGTTCCACACCATGTACTACTTTTGATGTCAGAGAAAGATGTGTTAGGCTGTGGGAAAGTTGGTACTTATTTACATACTTATTTTTGCAGTATTGGGGATTGAACCCAGGGGCTCTTTACTACCTAGCTATATCCTCTGGTCTTGCTAAATTCTGAGGCTGACCTTGAACTTGTGATTCCCCTTTTCAGCCTCCTGAGGTGCTGGGATTATAGATGTGCGCCACCACACCCTGCTGAAAGATGGTATTTATTATCAAGCCCAAGTAAGCCCTAAATAAAGGCAGTGTGAGGTGCTGGCTTAGAAGAATATTATCAGAATGCCTCCTCTTCAGTAGATTAGTGAATAATTCAAACAAGCCTTGCAGGAAAAAAGGAAATATACATAAAAATTATGGTTTTCTAAGGGCCCACAACCATGAACACCTAAAATGTTAATACAGGGTAACTCATGACTATTTATAATCTATATAGAGCAATATACAACATAATAGTAAAATAACATCTGTTCTCAAGGATAAAGCAGAGAAGAGTAAGTCATTGTTAGCAACAACAACAAAAAAAGCAAGATTTTTTAAGGTAGGTTTAATAAGGTATACTTTTGAATAATTTAGAAAACTTTTAGCTGTTTAGGTATTCATAGACCTGAGCCCCTAGAAAACCAAAATGTATATATTCTTTCTTCCTGGCTTATCTGAATTATACAAATGAGTAATGGACTCATACTAGCCTAACAACTAGGAAACTTGTTATTTCCTGGGTTATCAGGTTGATTCTAAACAGTTCAATGCTGCCCCAAGGTCCACATTCCATTCTTATTTTTCTGTCATCTTTTGTGTCAGCTTCTAATCCAAGGCTTGGTCCTGCCAAGGCTTGGTCCTGTTGGGGTCTTAAGATGGTTGTTGGGGTCTTAAGGCAAGCAGCTATGTCCTTCCCTTTGGCCTGATTAGGCCAACTAATGCCACATTGAAGTTGACTTCAATGACTAATCAGGATTCCTTATTGAGTCTGGAATCATATCTGAATAAAAACATGGCTGGTAGAAAACAGGCAACCATCAATGTCTCCTATTATTGGGTTATTGGGCTCTAGACTTACAAGGTATTAGGGAAAATTTTAGAGACAAAATGAAAGAAAACTACTTGAGTAAAATAAGAGCCTTTCCAAAATAGAAAGGAAAATTTCTATTTATTGAGGGCTTACTATTTGACAGCCCTCTTGCAAAATTATTTTGTGTAATGTTATAGTAATGCTACAAGAGATTTTATAGATAAAGGAACCAAGGCCCAGAGAATTTAAGTAATTTTGTATAAACCACATTTTTTTTCCCCTCCAAAGCTATGCTCTTCCATTGAATCTCATAAGTAGGACAGTCAACACTAAAACGTTAAGATAAGGAATTTACRTAGTTTTTGAAATATGCTGTGTATATGTTGTCCAAATTCCTCTTTAGGATCCAAAGAACTATACCACTGGCCCACAGCCCTCAGCTTGTCTACTTCSTCATCTGAGGACAGCCATTGCACCCAAGGTCACACCATTTCTCCTGTGTCTTGTATTTAGTGCTTAGTGATTGACTGAACTGGGGATGTAAAGGCCTGGCTCCCTTAAAACTTCAGAATGCCCCCAAGGGTGGGCTTAGACATTGCTGTTGAACTCCCTCTGCCCGATCATGTTCTTGTCCCCACATGTATTGATTCTAAGTGCCTTCTATCACAAACCTTGTATTCTACTCTGCTTCCCAGGACACCTACCCTGTGATAATTACTAATTTAAAGTATTTAAGAAGATGATATTGTCGAAATAATAATAGATAAAATAATGGTTTTCTGTAAGCTGAAGTAGTGAGAACTCATCCAGTTCCAAAATTTTTTGAATCTTCGGTTTTACTAGTAATAAGGAAGGGTAGAAAACATACGAATATTCACATGGGAACAATTAAATTTTGCCAACTAAGATTTTTTTTTTCTTCAAATCTGAAAATTTTATAAAAGCCAAGACATGGAGATAGTCTCATTGTTTACAAGAGATAAAAAGGATTAAAAAGCAGTCAAAAGAAAATGTAGTCATGTGTAACATAATGACATTTTGGTCAGTGATAGTCTGAGATCTTGTGGCCCAGAAGATCACGATGAAGATGAATAATTCGGATTGCCTAGTGACTTAGCCCTTGAAATGGRGCACACCCTATTACTTGTTTGTGGTGATGCTAGTGTAAACAAACCTGCACTGCCAATTGTATAAAAGTATAGTATACTCAATTATGCATACTACATAATACTTTATAATAAGCAACTTTGTTAGATTCGTTTTTACTTTCTATTGTTATTTTTTAGTATATTCCTTCTACTTGTTTAAAAAAAAAAGGCCACTATAAGGCAATATGTGGGGTTAACACAGCAACCTCAAGTGCCTCATGTTTACCTCGTTTCTTTCTCTTAAGTACATTAGCAAATATAGAAAACTCAGGAGCCCCTAAGGCAGTATTAATATTGCTATATATTTTTCCATTGTACATTATCTTTAATAAACTCCAATTAAATGACATGTAAGACAGGTAATTTAGCGTAAGAATATTTATTAAATGGATGCTTACAAGAAGGCTATTGGTGAATAAAGGTAAAATTTTTCATATGAAGCCTTTAAATGTGTAAAATTTAGACTCAATTTTATTTTTAAAGTATCTGCCCCTTCCAGATTATATCATAGCATGTGAAGCACTGGTGAGGTTTATGTCACCAGAAATTCCCAGTTTGCTGATTTCCCTGAGATTTTTCATCCGATGATTGTACTGTAGCAAGTGAGCATCATTGACTGCAACCTTGAAGTGGTCAAGCTCAACCAGGACTTGTATCTGAAAAGGCATACACACAAATTGTCATGTGAGGTCATAATTGTGTTAATTAGTGCAGTTTAGCCATTCCATGATGTGTGCATATTTCAAAACATGTGCATGAGAGAGAGAGATAGTTTTTGTCAATTTGAAATAAGAGGAATAATAGAAATACCCATTAATTTCAAACAAGTATAGCTTGAACTCAGGATGTTCAACATGTCATCTTTATCATTTGTAGACCCAATTAAGAAGATCCAGAGTTGCTGGGGTTGTGGCTCAGTAGTAGAGTGTTTGCCTCGCACATGTGAGGTACTGGGTTCGATCCTCAACACCACATAAAAATAAAAAAATAGATATTGTGTCCATCTATAACTAAAAAAAAATGTATTTAAAAAAATAGAAAAGATCCAGAGAAAGTAACTTTACAATAAAAATAAGTTCCAGATTATTTAAACAAAAAAAGACAAAGCAACAAAATTGTTAGAAGAACCTAAGTGAAACCATAAAGGGCAAGATTCATAATTTGCCTACATTAAACTTTTTAAGGTTTTGTAGCACTTAAAAAGAAAGACAGCCAGGCACAGGGGTGCATGCTTATAAATCTCAGTGGCTCAGGAGKCTGAGACAGGAGGATAGAGAGTTCAAAGTCAGCCGCAGCAAAAGCAAGATACTAACTTGGTGAGACCCTGTCTCTAAATAAAATACAAAATAGGGCTGGGGATGTGGCTCAGTAGTCKAGTGTCCCCAAGTGTAATCCTTGGTAGCAAAAGAAATAAAATAAATAAACAGTAAACACTATAGTAGGAATCCCTTAACCAGTTTGGCAGGGTTAGGGGAAACTCAAATGATAGATATGCAATCTCACATCCTTTTGTAATCAGTAATTTGGCAATGCCTTACCCAAATTTTAAACATGTATGTTCTTTGAATAAAGTTATTCTAGGAAAGAAAGATGTGTATGTAAGGGTAGTTATTACAGTATTTTGGTTAAATATTTTCAGGTTTATTCTTTAGCATATTTCCATAGTCCAGATATTCATCAGTAGGGTACTGGTAAAATTCTCACATATTTAAACAATGAAATACTAGTAAGTAATAATATTGTGAAATGGAAAGCTGTCTACCACATGTAGACTGTGATCCTTGTCCCTGACCTTGAGCTTACAGTCTAGCCATTTTTATTGACTACAATCCTAACTCAGTGCTTCAGACTTTATAAATATCTGTTGAAGCAGTTACTTAAAAATGTGAGC